TGGCTCTGAAAGGGATCACACTAGAAACTCCATCATAGAGAAATGTGAAAATCATAAAACAAGAAAGACCAGGCTTGCTGGTTGGATGGAGACTGTCGAGTCCGTCAAGAATATGGCCCTTCCTCTTCAAGTCTGAAGCTGAGCGCACTCTTGCGCTAGAATAACCGATGGTTAAGATCCAGAGGGCAGCCATCACCCCTGGACAAAGTCCGGAGAGTGAGGAACGATGGAGGGATGGCAACAGCAACCACAGGAAGGGCGTGGCACGAGGGGCGGCGTGCGTGTGGGCGTTGAGGGCACGGCAGTGGATGAGTTGAAACAAAATGCGTGAATTGTTGAATGTAAAGCTCTAATCTGCTCTGCAAAGCTTCACTTAATTCACAATGAATTTTTAAAAGAAATAATTATGATCAGGACACACCCTATGCTGATATGGTTTCAACAGCATAACAAAGAAAGCCCTATTTTCACATCTACAATGGTCAGGACTGGGATTCTAGCATATCTTTTTTTGAGAAGCAATTTAATGGTGGTGTAGTGGTTATGAGTTGGGCTGCTGACAGAAAGGTCAGCAGTTCGAAACGACCAGCTACTCCTAGGGAGAAAGATGGGCTTTCTACTCCCACAAAGAGTTAGAGTCTGGGAAACTCACAGGGGCAGTTCTACCCAGCCTATTGGGTCCCTATGCGTCGGCATCACTCCAGAGCAGTGAGTGTTTTGTTTTGTTTTAAATCCCACCTATAATAGCGCACAGCACAGCACCACCAAGCACAGCAGCACCAAGCACAGCACTACCAAGGTGAGCATGAGCCCCAGCAATGGAAGGACTCCCAGGTGGTCCGCCTACTGTAGGACACTTTAGACACCCAGAAAATGCTCCCCAAGTGCTACATAGGCACATGAGAAGAAGGTGGTATTTACTACCCTGAGGTCGAAGTTTGGGGCTTATCATGGAGAAAGCCTCATTCATTGAGAGTGCTTGGGCACGGTAGGTTAAGGTCAAATGAGACATTGCTGAATAAAGTCAAGAGCAAAGCAGAAGCGGTTTTTGTGTTGGTCTGCCATTTTTATGGCTCCAGATTTCCTACCCAGCAGTACAAAGAATAATTAGACGCTAGTGGATTTGCTTTTCTCGGGTGTGTATTTGGCCCGCCTTCAGTCTTTCCCCCATGATTTTGATGAATCAAAGTATTATTCTGCTTCCCCCCACCAAAAATTTACTGCCCATAAATCCTAATCGTACTTTTTATTCATAAAGACAAAGTACCCTATGGAATTTTTAGAGATCAAATCTTTACCAGTTCTATCAGACACATGCCCAGCTTCCATGGTAGTCCCCAGAACTTTCTAGAACATTCCTCCCCTCTCTTATTTTCCAGAAATCAGAAAATGAATTTTTTAAAAAGAGAATTAGCCCTTTCCAGAGCCATTGAGTCAACTCTAACTTTTATGGTGACCCCAGGTGTGTCCGAGTAGAACAGTACTCTGTTGTGTTTTTAGTGGCTTGTTTTCTTCAGAAACCGATCACCAGGCCTTTCTTCTAAGGCACTTCCAGGGTAGACGTGAACCTTCAACCTCCTACATAGCAGTGGAGAATGTTAACCATTTTGCCATCCTGGGACTCCACGGGAATTAGTTGCAATTGCCTTTTCACAGAAACCACTGTGACAGTTTTGACCCTTTTTGCTGGCAACTCCTGAGTTTTCTATAAGAAAGTGGCTCAAAGGCCACTCAAAGCTCAGAGGCAGGTATCACTGCTAATTATCTCCCTTTGGAAAGCCTCACTCATTACACGCTGTCATCAGAAGGACAGGGCCTGCCCCCAGAAGCATTCTGACTCAGGCACATCACCAGGGTTATTTGCTTACTTCATATTCATTTATTTTATTTTTGAGCTCGGGCGTAGAGTGGAGGGAGCATAATACCGAGTTCCTGCAAGTTGAAGCTCAAAGCAACATCAGAGGCTACATTTCGAGTGGCATTTGCTCCTTGACATCAAAGACGCAACATTAACAAAAGATTCGTCCAAGGCCTCCCTCCCTTTTGACCTATTGGGAGCCTTTCTAGGGAGCAGCTAAGATCAGGGGTCAGTTCATATGGCTACAGCTGGCATCGCAGTGCTGACCACTAGGGGGACCCAGAGACCCTGGACTCAGCCAGGTTGACATTTCTGCTCTGTGTGAAAAAGACAAGTTCAGGCTGGATGAAGTTCCTCCGCGCTCTTCCTCCTCAGGAGTCCCTGGGTGGCCAAAGGTACTTTCCTAATGCAAAGGATGGAGGCTGAAGTCTACCCAGAGATGCCTTGGAAAAGTCTGATGATCTACTACTTAAAACAAAACAACAACTTCAACCATAGCACACTCTGCAGAGCACACACTTCTGTGCTGACGCGCAGGGGTTACCAGGAGTCAGAAACCACTTTATGGCAACGGGTTTTCTTTCTCTCCCACAGTCCCTGCTCCCCCTATCCTCTACAGTCACACAAGACGATGCCAGCCCAAACCCAGACCGAGTGCCATCGGGTCAATTCTGATCCAGAGACCCTAAAGGACAGAGAAGAACTGACCCACAGGGTCTCCGAGGCTGCAAATCTTTCTAGAAGCAGACAGCATTACATTTATCCCAGTGTGACTAGTGAGTTCAAATCACTGAGCTTTTGGTTGGTAGCAGAGTGCTTTAACCACTGCTCCACCAGGGCTCCTTGACTGCATCATCCAACCCCACTACCCTTGAGTCGACTCTGATTCATCGCCACTATATACAGGGTTTCATCTTTCTCCCACTAACTGTGCCACAGAACTCCTAAAAGTTATGCCATAGGCATATGTTTGCAGCATGTATATAGTATTTCCTAACAATCCTTTTGTTATTCCTTACAGCCCCTCTGACGAGCCACCCGCCCAAACCAAGCCCAATCAAGCTCACTGCCATCAAGGCAATGTTGACTTTTAGTGACTCTGCAGGACAGGGTAGAACTGCCCCTGTGGGTTTCTGAGACTGTCACTCTTTATGGGAGTAGAAAGTCTCATCTTTCTCCCGAGAGTGGCTGGTGGTTTCGAACTACCGATCTTGCAGTGAGAAGCCCAACTTGTAACCACTATGCTGCCAGGGCTCCTTGATGAGAACATGCATGCTTCTTTTATTCGAAGGAGAGACCTCTTATCACTGAGCTCCACTTAAAGGTTTTGATTCAGTATTCATTACATCGTATGCCTATTCACAGAAATGTATGCTACCCTAAGAGACATTTGTTAGTTAGTGGTTATGGACTCGCCTCTGGGGCATTAGGAGGTAGGAACATGGGACCAGTGGCTTTCGCTTGAAAAGGATACCCAGGTTAGGTGGCATGCTTGTGTTGGTGAAGAACCCCAGACTGTGTGTGGCTCATGCGTTTTCAGATTACATAAGCCAATCTTGTGATTCCAGGAGAAGACCAAAAAGCACTCCAGGGCAGATTGTGTACCAACTATAAAGATGCAGTGGTGGCTATGGTTTCTGGGAGATTACTACAGAGAAGGATTTTCACCTTCTGGGTGGTAGATCTGGGTTCAATACGCCTCAGGCACAGCCACCACCTGTCTGTCCGTGGAGGCTTGCATGTTGCTTATGTTCCTGAATGGGTTTCAGCAGAACTTCCAGACCAAGATCGATGAGAAAGAAAGGCCTGGTGATCTGTTTCCAAGCATCAGCCATGAAAATGCCTAAAGATCACAATGGACCAATCCTCAACCAGTAATGAAGTTGCTATAGCACCACTGGGCAATATTTTATTCTGTTGGACATAGGGCCACCATGAGTCAGGGACCAACTTGACAGCAGCCAATAGCAACAACCACCACAATAACAACCACAGCAGCAACGGCATATTGTATGATATTAGATTCCAGGCCTACTATAAGCAACCCAGAAGAACAGTTATAAGGAGTTCGTGTATTAGGGTTTATACCTCAAACTAACAGAAAATCAAACTCACTTCCATCAAGTTGATTCCGGTTTAGTGACCTTCTGGGACAGGGTAGAACTGTGGGTTTCTGAGATTTTAACTGTTTATGGGAGTAGAAAGCCTTATCTTTCTCCTGCTTAGCGACTGGTGGTTTCAAACTGCTGACCTTCTGGTTAGCAGCACAACTTATATCCCACCGTGCCACCAGGGTTCCTTGCTACTTATACCTATTCTTAGTTTAAGTCAGAGCTTATGGCTCTGCTTTGGGGGGCATTACAGATAGAAATGAGGAAAACATGTTTTGCCGTTGGGAGGTTAGCACATGTGAAATGCAGCTATGAGTGAGTACCGACAATCAGTGACTTCAATACAAACAGACCATTTTCTATATTTCATCTTCCCCCAAACATCCCAATGACTAACCTTAACAGCAGAAAGGACAATTGGATTATGATGAATGGGTCTTAAGTTTTCTCTTTTCCTCCTGGAGTTCGCTACTGGGTCTTCTATGTCTACTGGGGGTTTACCAGGTAGCGCATAGCAGGTGGAGGAGAGAGGAATGATCACTTTGATACAAATGAAAGGCAGCATACTGTATGCTATGGATCTTGTCAAGAACTCTCAAAGAAAGAGAGGGAAATTGTCTTTTTATTAAAGCAGTTTGTCAGGCTGCCTTTGAAAGGCTTGCCTTAATTCTTCGGTATTGTAATAAATAACCCCAAGTATTTGGATTAGCAATGCTCTTAACAGACAGATGGGATTTTAATTGAAATAAATATTTGGAAATTAAAAATATAGCAAATGTGGGCTATTTTATGTTCATTAATTTATCATTCAAAGGCGCTTTAAAAGTTAAATGGTTAGAATTCATGGTGCATGAACTTCAGGTTATAGGACACGTGGGACGGTGTCAATAGGGGGAGGGTCAGCTTTTCACACTTTGTAGTAAATAAGAATGTCACATCCGGCTAGCCCATGCTTTACAATGAGCATCTCATCTTTAAATAAAAAAAAAAAAAGAGCATCTTTCCCACAGATATTTCAACGTGTAGCTTACCTGTAGCTTCCACCATTCCTTCTAAGATGACCACAATTTCCAGTTCCTCTTTGGGCAGCTGGGCTTTGGAGATCTCCCAGAAAGGACTCTGTTGGTTAATTTCATGGCTAATGATCAGCGGCGACACCAGAAATAGGCGGTCATCCCCCGTGTAATAGCCTACATTGATGTCGGTCTGGTTCAAGGGGATGAACTCCCCTTCCGAGGTCTGTTTGGATTTGATCAACTTGGCTCTGATGGAAGCCTCCACGATGTGGGAATTCCGCAGGTCCCCCACCCGGAACATCAGGCAGAGTTTCCCATCCCGCATCGAGATCACCGCATGGGTGGAAAAGACCAGGGTCTCTGCCCTCTTCTTGGGTTGAGATATCTTGACAAACATACATCCCACCATGAATGCATTGACAATGGATCCCAACACAGATTGGATTAAGAGGAGAACGATTCCCTCTGGGCACTTGTCTGTGATCACCCGGTAGCCATACCCGATGGTGGTTTCTGTCTCTATTGAGAATAAAAAGGCCGAGACAAACCCATTGAGGTTGGTGACACAGGGAGTCCACGAGGGGTCCTCTATGTGGTCCATGTCTCCTCGGATATAAGCAATTAGCCACCAGATCATTCCAAAGAAGAGCCAGGTCACTGTGTAAACCATGACGAAAATGAACAGGTTGAATCTCCACTTGAGGTCCACTAAGGTGGTGAAGATGTCAGTCAGGTATCGATAGGTCTCCCTCACGTTCCCGTGATGGACGTTGCACTTCCCGTCCTTCCTCACGTACCTCTGGATCTTCCTTTTGGTCCGATCTCTGCTGATGTGTCGTGGCAGGTCGTCCCGCGCTTGCTTAGGCAACTTTGGCTGATGAATGGCCACAGGGCTCTCCACATCCTGATCCATGGAGTCCCCCTCCAGGACATTAGCTGATGGTTTGAAGAAAAGAAAAGAAAGGAAAACCCAAATGACATGCTGGCTTTTAAAGGATCATAGAAACCACACATTTTTTTAATATAGTGGAAAAACAAAATACCATTGTGTAGCTATGGAAAGAAAGTCAACCAGAAACAGAGCCCCTGGCCATGGAGTCATTCTGGGCTCCACAGGGTTTTCAATGGGCTGACTTCGGGGGAGTAGATCACCAGGCCTTTCTTCCAAGGCACCTGTGGGTGACTTTGAACCACCAGCCTTTCTGCTGGCAGCCAAGCACTGAACCACTTTCATGGACTAAGTAGATGCAGACTTTGAGGGCTCTGGTGGCTTTGCAGTGCTGCATCCTGTGGTCTAGCTTGTGTCCATACGTCACCAGCCCTCCTTCAGGACAGAGCTTCCTGCTGTGAAACGGGCCCTGGCTGGCAGATTCCCTTGCGCCAGCTCTTCCAGCGGGCTGTCTCCGCATCTGTCTGCTTAGTTGCTGGGTGCGAGCAGGAGCAGGAGCTCTGGGGAAAGGCATTTGCCTTGGGGTTCAGACCATCTTGGCTCTATCTCTTAGCAATTGTGGGCTCCTGACTCTGCTCTCTGATCCACTGAGGCCCAGGGTCCACATTTATCAAGTGGCGGCCACAGCACCCGACTCACATGGTTGTTGGAAGGTATAAAGATGCCACACCCGGGGCAGTGCCTGGCATGAAACAGTCACACAGTAGGTGTTCTCTGGTGATGCTTTTTCATACTTCCTGCAGCAGTTTTGAGTGAAGTTCTGAGAATAACTAGTTAAATGGTCATTTTTAGTTTTAAATGGTCCTGGCTAGGGTGTTGTTGTTGTTGCTTGAAGTGTTAGAAATTATTTTCTCACCGTGTGTTTGCACATTTGATTTGGGTCCTCCCTCAACATCTCACCCCTGTATGTTCTTTCTTGATGACCTTTATGATAAATATCTTTGGATTAATGACCAATCAGGAAAGCTTTCCTGGAATCTTGGAATGAGTCTTTCGATTAAGCACATAGAAACCATGTGGACAATTACTTGGCCAATAATTTTAAAGCTTCCTCAAAGTTTTACGAGCAGTCCTGTTGCCCACCACCCCCACACCCCACTCCAACCCTCCTTCCCCCCAGGTTTTCATTCTGCATCCTTTGACTGTGCTGGACTTTTTTCTACAGCTGTGTATTGTCCCCTGGTTAGAGGAGAAATAGAGCCTGATGAGAATACACCGTGTATCTGAGTGAGGGATTAGCTGGAGATGGGACATGGGTGCTACCAACTTAACATAGAGTTTGACCTTTCTCATGGTTGGCTAGTTTCTTTAAAAATCAATCCCATAGATCTGTTTACATCTTCCAGAACAAGAAAAAAGCAGCCTCTGGTCTGCAGAGGCTGCTGTAGTGTTTGTCAGCTTTGATTTTTACATCAACGCCCTGAAGAGCCCTTAATGTGTAAGGGAGCACCTTTGTTTGTCTCCTCCTCATCCTCCTCGTCCTCCTCGTCCTCCTCCTCCTCGTGCTCCTTCTCCTCCTCCTCCTCCTTCTTCTTCTGACAAGGGGCAGGAGTCAGAGAGACGCAGCTGGGCTGGGGCCAGCTGCAAGCGGGGTGCAGTATCTGGAAGGAGGTCAAAGCCAGTGCCCCTGCTCACTGCAGCACCTCCCACTCGTAGGGGCGTCTGTGCTTTTTTGGCCGTGAAAAGTCATGACTGAGCTCCCCCAGCTAATTTTTGCCTACAGTGGGAGTTAGAGTATCCAAATATGATTGCACGTGGGAGGATGGCTGGCTCAAGCTCCACAAGGTTGGGAGGTCTTGCTGGCAATTGCACTACAAGGGTTCAGGAGACATGGTCAGCTGCCTGACCATGCCAACGCCACCCTGAGCCCTGGGGAAGTGAGAGCCATTGTTTTCAGCTTCCATTGAGTCCATTCTGCCCCATGGTGACCCCACATCTGTGGAGTAGAACTGCTACACAGGGTTCTCAAGGTGATGGCCTTTTGGAAGCAGATAGCCAGGCCTTACTTCTGAGACTCTTCTGGGTGGGTTGGAACCATCAAACTTTAGCCTAGTGGTTGAGCACTTGCTTAACTGTTTGTGGGCAGGAGTGAACTCATCAAAATAGCTGATCCTCAATAGTCTTCAGCGACAGTTCATACCCTAAAAATGTTGTGGGGAAAGCATAGGCCGTACATTTATGCCCTTTCCCCTTTGCTGGTGCAACATTAATAGGAGTGACTGTTTGCCTCGAAATTGAAGAACCTGTTTGGAAGGGTAACGAGTGAGTAAAATTTAAAAACTCCAAACTCATTGTCATCATGTCTATTCTGATTCACATTAATTGATTTAGTTACCCGGTACAGGGTTTCCAAAACGATATATCTTTTTGGGAGCAGGCAGGTTCAGCTTTCTTTAACACAAAGGCTAGTGTGTTTGAACCAACAACCTTGCAGCTAGTGGTATAACACTTACTTGATAACTCCACTAGAAGGCGCTAAAATAGGCTCCCCAAGAGGCCAAGAAGGAAGAGGTCAGTGAGGAAGAAGTGGTGTGGAGTGGGTAGGATTTGGGCAGGATTTGGGGCATGGAGGGAAGGGGCAGAATGCAATGGTTATGGCTGGACTATCACTGAACAAGGAAGACTGGGCCAATCGAGGTCTCAGATAGTACCTCCAATTTATGTGTGCAAATACTTGCCTGGAAAACACAGAAAGGAATATTAATGATGGCTTTTGTCTCTCTCAGAATGCCAGGTGTGAATGTGAGAGGGTGATGTGAATTGTTTCCAAGTAGCATTTTGAATAGCAAGTGCAGCTGCAGTCAGGAAAGCAGACACTTGTATTGCATTCTTGCTCAACCGACCACACAGACACCTTCTGACCACCCTCCTCTCGCACACCTTTGACCTTCTGCCATGTTGTGCCCGTGTAGAACCAGGGGGATGGGCTGGCAAGAAGAGAATCTCAAAGAAACTCCTTGTTAATGACGAAGCCCGAAAAATGCACTGCCATTGAGCCCCTTCCTCCAGCCTAGAACGCCTTCTAGGGTTTCCAAGGGTGTCCGTCTTTACAGGAGCAGGCAGCTTCAACTTTCTCCCTCAGAACAGCCAGTGAATCTGAACTGTTGACCTTTCATTTAGCAGCCCAGCGCCTAGCCCACAGTGCCACCAGGACTCCCCTGTTAACTGTGAAGTGCTGTGCAAAGAGATGGAGGAAAGAATTTAGATGGTTTGCTTTGGAGTCCCCAGGTGTTGCAAAGAGTTCACATATTGGACTGCTAACCAAAGGGTTGGACATTTGAGTCCACCCAGAGGCGTCCTGGAAGAAGAGCCTGAAGGTCTATTTCCCAAACATTAGTCATTTGAAACCCTATGGAGAACAGTTCCCTGACACACATGAAATTACTATTGAGTAAGAGTTCACTTGCAACTTGCTTTTTGTTACTTGTGAGTTACTTTCCTGGGTGTCTAGGTTACCTAGTGCCACAGTAACAGACATATCACAAATGGTTGTCATTAACAAAAACAGATTTTCTCAGTTTAGGATTCCAAAGTTCTAAATTTAGGGCCAGGCTTTCTTTCTCTGTTAGTTCGATGAGAAAGTACTTGTTTCTATTAGTTGATGCTTCTACATGACCTTCACGGTGCCTTGGCACCAATCTTCTCCTGGGTCTGGGAGGTTCTCAGCTCAGGGGCCCTGCATCCAAAGGACGCTCTCTTCTCCCAGCTCTTCTTTCATTGGTGGTAGTAACATCCCTCCTCTGCTTGCCTTTGTCTTCTTTTATCTCTTGTGAGAGTGTGGACACCTAAGCAACTCCCCTCACATTGGATCAGGGCTACGACTGAGTAAGGGTGTCATTTCCTACCATAATCCCCCTTCAGCTGATTATCTGATCACACCAGGTCAAATCAGAGGGGGTGATTATATCTTTCTTTTTTTAAAAAAAATCATTTTATTAGGAACTCATACAACTCTTATCACAATCCTTACATACATCAATTGTGTCCAGCACATTCGTACATATGTTGTCATCATCATTCTCAATACACCTGCGTTCTGCATGAGCCCTTGGTATCAGCTCCTAATTTTCCCCCTCCATCCATGCACACCCCTCCCCCAGGAACCCTTGATAATTTCTAACCCCAACCCACTTAGTCATATCTTACACCATCTGAAATCTCCCTCACCCACTTCTCTGCTGTCTGTCACCCAGGGAGGAAGTTATATGTAGACCTTGTAATCTGTTCTTTTCCCACCTCTCTACTCTCAATATTGGTCCTGAGGGGTTCATCTGTCCTGGATTCCCTGTATTTCCAGTGCCTATATGTGCCAGTGTACATCTCTGGTCCAGCCGGATATGTAAGGTGGAATTGGGATCATGATAGTGGTGGGGAGGAAGCATTCAAGAAAGTTATGTAAGTACATGACTTCTAAACTTCTGAGAATCATGGCCCAGGCGAGTTCACACATCTTTGGGGGGTGGAGTGGGGAGGGAGTGGGACATTTTGATCCATGGCACTCGGTTTTATTCCAGTGTAACATATACCAGTTTGAAAAAAAGTGACTTCTAACTCCCTGCTGTGCTGACCTCTATTTAGCCTTATCCTTTTCTCTCTTTCTTTCTGTTTGAAATGTGGTCAATTTACATAGAAATTGCTAAAGTGGCAAGTGATCTCATGTTAAAATTTAATCAGAAAGAAATATCGACGACCGATGGAGCCCCAGCAGGAAGGAGCCATGCATCCTTGGTATGATGTGGCATTTTAGTTTCAACCTTGTCTCTGGGAAGGCGAGGGAGGTTCGGGCCAATTGTGGTTGCTCTCCTGTTGAAAAGTTAATGCTTTAAATTATTTATAAATTTTACAGCTGAAACTTCAGTATTGAAGACAATGTTCAAAAAGTACTTTGAAAAAATGTAATGCCATAGAAGGCCTGAGGAAAACAAGGTATAGACTCCGCTCTGTACTCAATGTTCCCACAGATGAGACGGAACACTCCTGAATATTA